AAAATATGGAATTTTTTTTAATATGTTTATTTTGCCTTTACAATTAATATAATTTTCATGTATATAACAAAATAAGTAATTGCTGGAGCAAGAAGAACACATAATTTTTTCTGATCACCGAGCCCTATTTTTATAAAATCGTGTTTAATAAATTACATATTATATTGGCGTAAATATACAAAGTTGTAATTGCTAAAATACACTATCTGCAGTTGCAAAAAGAAAAAGAAGACAGCTGCAGTTTGCAAAAAAAGGATTATATACTTGTAATAAAATTAAAAAAAAGATGGTGGATTGTGATGACAACATTCTTTTAAAAAAATGAGAATCAGGTTCTAATAGCATCAATATTGAGGATATTACATCTAACAAGACTTCAGAAATTTGTGATAATTTACAAATGGAGAGACACTTAACCAAAATGCAATTATGATATATTAGATCCTGCAACATGGCCTGTTGAAATCGACAACAAACAACGGATGTTTTTGGTTGAGCATTCACCAAAAAGTATAAAGATATCCATTATAAAAGGAAGATGTTTCAGTGACACTTTATTTTACCGACAAATAAAAAATGGCCAAAAAGAATTAGGCTTTTATATTCTAATTCGACAAGAAAAGATTTCTACTTTTAAAATCAATCCCTGATAAAGAAAAAAGAGTTACATATTTTTCTATGAAAAGTCAAATCGAAACAGTCTTACAACTAGCTTCTAGAGTTTTAAATACAATAGTAAGTAATTTTAAATCATCAAAATACTTTTCGGTAATGATAAATTCTACACCAGATCACAAAAAAGGCCAGTTGTTCATCATTATTCGATATGTTATAATAGTGGACCAAGAGCCAAGTGTTCAAGAAAGTTTCTTAAACTTTGTAAATATAATGTCATTGACTGGAGATAATAAAGTAAAAGTTCGTATTGAGGAATTAGAAATATTAGGAATCAAGATTGCTGATTGCTGAGGTCAGTCGTATGACAATGCAAGCAATATGAAAGGAGAATATAAGGGAGTGAAATTTTGAGTTTTAGAAGTGTTAAAAACACTATTAAAAGTCTGAATTATTTAATTACATCAAATAATTTATATAAGATTTTTGCTGCATCAACAAAGCGATAGGCTATTCAAGTAAAAAATTCCAAAAATAATCTGAAGGCGCCAAGTAATACCTGATGGGAATATTGCTTTAAAAGTATAAAAAGCTATGAAACTTGAAATTATCCATCCAGATTGTAAAACTAATAAAATCTTATGAATTGTTGTGCTCACAACAGTTTGGTATCACTTACAATAAATATTTTACTTTATTGTAAGTGATACCAAAAGCTTTACATTTTCAGCCAGTTGCTTCAGCAAAAAATTATGGCTATTAATATTGCATTACAACATACAAAGGCTATGCTATTACCTCTAGAAGATTTTATAAACAATTTTAAACAGATTATAAAAGAAGCACAAGAAGCATCGGTAGATATAGATGTTATGGAACAGTTCACTGAACGGTCGTCTTGTGATACTCAAATATTGAGTAGAAACTTTAAAATTGTCTTGATTAATCACCAGAACCTAGTTTAGTCAAAATGGAGAGTATGTAATCTCAAGAGATTGGCAGACTTTTCTTATTATACAGACTATAAAAATAAATATTACGAGCCGAATGAAGAATTTTAACCAATAGACAATGATTGATCCATTTGAATGCTGTAATGATATTGATATGCGTGATCTCGTTTCTGAAATCGATGATGAGTATAACCATCTAACTCAAATGGCTGAAGATAAGTTTAATAAATCTTATTTTAATAAACTAATCGATAAAGTAAAAAATTTTCTTTTTGATAATAAAAAGCTAAAAACTCTGAATACAAATGAGTTCAATACTAATTGTTCAGATCTGGTCAAACACTTAGAAAATGATGTTGAAGAGGAGAAATTTAAAAAAGAACTTTCTATTTTAAGATATATTTAAAAAAATAATTATACTATTAAATTAAATAAATATACTATAGAGAATTTGGAATTCATTTTAGAAAGGAATTTGGAAGAATTACATCCAAATGTATGGATTGCCTATATCGAATAATTTTAACAACACCCATTACCGTTGCTTATTGTGAACGATCATTTTCAAAACTATTTCAAACTAATTCAAAAATAATTGCAAATTATCTGCGTTCTACAATGTCACAGGAAAGACTTTCAGGATTTACAATACTGTCAATAGTATTGTAAATCCTGAAAGTCTTTCCTGTTTCCAAAAATGCAAGCGTAGAAGGTCTAAGAAAATTAATTTATAGTTTCTTTGAATAACTTTTTTTTTAGAAATAAAACTCAAGAAAAATTAATTCAATAAAGTTGAAAAAAAATTTTTAAGGGCCCAAATTATTTATGTGTTACAGCACAGCTCTGCCAACCTCAGTATTTTTAATGTTTTGCTGTCTCTTGAAGTATCTAAACTTATTGACATAGACTTCTGTTACCTATACATAGTTCATATTTTCAACACATGGGTAGAATTAACTGATTGGAGGAATTAAAAAGATTTTCAAAAGCTGCTTTATCTTACTTCACAATTCTCTTGCCAGTAGAAGTGACTTTATCAGTATCACTGAAGGTTCTGCGCTCCCACTTTTATTTTGTGCAACCAGATGGGTTGGAGACAAAAAGGTAGCAGAAAGATTAATTAATATTTGATTATTTATTGTAAAAGTTGTTATTTATTAGGAGGCTCTGCCTAAGAGTAAATGGGCATCTTGAAAATCATATAAGTTTGTTGTAAATGCTATTAAAAAGAACTCTTCCTAGTAAGATTCCAGTTTTTTAGCTGGCAAGCCTGGCGAGCATGTTTGCACTGTTTCTGAAACTGACAGATGCTCCAATGCTACCTCTCTTGTGCACTTGATTCATGCAGAGTATTCTTAGGAATTCATTTAATCTGAAGTTATCGAGGCTTACTCAAAACTTACCAGAATTGATCTACAGAATAAAGAGAACCATTTGAAACCCAGTGAAATTGATATTGAGCTGCTGAATTATCATTTTTCAAAGTTCAGAAAGAATGATATTATTTTGAAGGATATTAAAAAATTTAAATTTCTATGCATGCATATTTCAATTTCAGATGCTGAAAAGTTATTTAAAAGATGTCTGCTTTATTTCATGGTTGCTAACATTTACTTTTATGCTCATATCACAACTGAAAAAAATAGTCAAATGAAAACATTTTTGCATCATCAACTTATCTCACTTGGAATATTAACTGCTTTTTATTCCAACAAAGTTAGGAACCAGTTCTCAAAGTTTATGTCATCAGAATTTGCAATAAAAATGTTTTTATTAGCTATGATTAAAAGAATAAATGCCTCAATAATTTTTACTTTAAAAACATTGACAAAAAAAGTATCCAGAGTTGTCATCTGTCCTTAAGTTGTTTCTGACTCTGAGTCATGGATCGGTGTCAAATGAATGGTGGTTTAGTATCAATAAGGATGTGGTTACTGACAATATATCAACAGATGGTATTGTTGGGCAGTGCCTGTTGTGTGATTTCATGCTTACCAACAACCTCAACCCCCATACTGTCTAGATTACGTCAGAAATGAAAGTATGGCTAGTTGAAAAACTTCAATTATTTTTTGCTAAATAAAAGGTTTTGCATAAAAGTTCTTTATGGTTATTGGAATCACATTTTATATATATATATATATATATATATATATATATATATATATATATATATATATATATATATATATATATATATATATATATATATATATATATATATATGTATATATGTGTATATATGTGTATATATGTATATATATATATATATATATATATATATATATATATATATATATATATATATATATATATATATATATGTATATATATATATGTATATGTATATATATATATATATATATATATATATATATATATATATATATATATATATATATATATGTCTTAATTTTGGCAAAATTTGAATTTTGTAAATTGCGTGGATATGATTGTGTGGGTCAATTTGTTAACTGTCATTACAATTGTCTTAAAATTTTTTGCTGTAAGACAGTCATAGACATTCAGTGACATTTTAATGAGTTCTAAGTATATATTTTTAATTTCTGTTTGTATCATTTTAACAAAATTTAATGTTGCTTTAAGTAATAGTAAAAAGTTGACTGATTCAAGAATACACTCGCTAGGTTGACCAAATTAGAAGTACAATAGTAAGTAATTTTAAATCATCAAAATACTTTTCCGTAATGATAGATTCTATACCAGATCACAAAAAAGGCCAGTTGTTCATCATTATTTGATATGTTATAATAGTGGACCAAGAGTCAAGTGTTCAAGAAAGTTTCTTAAACTTTGTAAATATAATGTCATCGACTGGAGATAATAAAGTAAAAGTTCGTATTAGAAATATTAGGAATCAAGATTGCTGATTGCTGAAGTCAGTCGTATGACAATGCAAGCAATATGAAAGGAGAATATAAGGGAGTGAAAATTTGAGTTTTAGAAGTGTTAAAAACACTATTAAAAGTCTGAATTATTTAATTACATCAAATAATTTATATAAGATTTTTGCTGCATCAACAAAGCAAAATTAATGTCTTAATTTTGGAAAAATTTGAACTTTGTAAATTGCGTGGATATGATTGTGTGGGTCAATTTGTTAACTGTCATTACAATTGACTTAAAATTTTTTGCTGTAAGACAATCATAGACATTCAGTGACATTTTAATGAGTTCTAAGTATATATTTTTAATTTCTGTTTGTATCATTTTAACAAAATTTAATGTTGCTTTAAGTAATAGTAAAAAGTTGACTGATTCAAGAATACACTTGCTAGGTTGACCAAATTAGAAGTACCTTGCCCTTTAAATAAATGAATAAGAAGTACCTTACCCTTAAACCAAAAATTTAATTTTTTGTCAACATTATTTTTATTTTCTAGAAATATTGTAATTATTTTTACTTTCTAGAAATATTGTTATTACTGATCTTCAAACTGAAAAAAAGTATTTATTTATTTTTCAACGTTGGATTGCCGTTGATTGCAGCTCATCTTTAGACTGTGTTATTCCAGTAGCATCAAATGAGGAGTCTACAAATTTTACCTATGTTTTTCAAACTAAAGCACATAATAAGTTTCTAGATGAACATTTATGGTTCTCAATATTTGCTAGACCTCCTAAAAGTAACTTTACCAGATGTCAACGGTTATCCGTAGCTGTTTCCTTGATAATGACTTCAATGATGATAAGCACATTGTTTTATCAGCGTGTTCCTCCTGCTAAACCAGCTATAGAAAATCAGTTTGGCAACTTTACTTTTACTTATTCAACGGTATGTCTTCTTTTATTTTTATTTTTTTTTAACTTTGTTTTAGTTTTCATCTCTTTTAACTCTTTAATATAAATGCTGAAATTAAAGTTATTCATAAATTGTATTAAAAAAAAATAATAACAAAGTAAAAAAAAAAGAAGAAAAAAAAAGGAAAGCATATATACATTCCATGTTAGAACATGCACATTTTTGCTATATAGTATATATACAAAAAATGTGTTTCTTGTTTCTACTGCAATTTTTTGATTAGACTTTTTTTACTATATAATATTTTTATAAAATTCATAATAGTTATTTTATATTTTTTGTGATATGTTTTTTGTTAATTATATTTTTCATAAATTCTTTATATATTCAATTTTGGGCATTTAAAAAAATTTACTAATTTGTTTAGGTTTTTCTGTTGTTGGTTTCTTCCTTAGCCAAGTTACCTGTACAACTATTAATAATAAAAATTTTTCGCTTAAAGTTAAAACATTTTAAATATGTCAAAGACAATTCAAATAGTTTTCTAGAATCTTCTAAGATTAAAGAAAAGAAAAAAGCATACACATTATATCGCTTGCAGGGTATGTACAATTTTTGTTTTCAAATAGATAAAATTAATTAACAAGTCATTAATTGTTTTATAGATAAAATATTTTACTATTATTGCTAATAAAAATGTTAAAACTTTATTTATAGATGTTTCAAATGTAAGTTTTGATGAACAACAAAACACACATAGCAAAAAACCTCATCTATTCAATTGGTATTTGTATATAGGATGGTTTATTTGTGTTGGAAATATTTTTGTGTGCAGCTTTATAGTTTTTTTATATGGAACGGAGTTTGGAAATGCCAAATCATTAACTTGGTTGTCAAGTGTAACTATTGATTTTGTGCGTTTTTACTTTTTTAGTTGTTTTTTTTTTTTTTTTATTATACAAAACGATTTTATTTTATTTTAAGGAGACCCTAAAAATTTATTATTAAAAATTATTATAATATATTATAAATAATCATGCTTGTTATATTTTTCATATATATTTATTTCCACACAATTCAGGACCAATTCTATGATTATTCGCTTTAAGTCTAAATCGTGATTTTATTATCTATTATAATGGCCTGATCTTCAAAACACTAACAGGGATTTTCTTTTTAGTGTCCAAAATGAAAGTGTCTAAAATGTTAGTGAAATTTTTTACAAAACAAAATAATTTGAACTTTATTAGTTTTGAGGGCTATTTATAGCTTACCTTTTTATAAAATGTACTTTTGGTAATGATTTTTACAATTGGATTTAATATCAAGATATTATGTAGAGCTTGTAAAGTTTGTAAAATAGTCAAAGTTTACTTCTGAAAATTTTCATTGCACTTAATCTTCTAGAAGAAGGTTTAGAATGAAGCAATAAAATCCAGCAGTAGTCAACAAGTATTGTAGGTGGAAGTTTTGCTAAAATGCATCTTTTTTAATTTTTATTTTAGAAAATGTCACTTTTATATCAGTAAAATTTAAAATAAAATTTTTTAATAAAATGATGATAGTTTTTGAATTTTTTTTATAATTTCCCTTCATTTGAGACCCAGCAAGGCATACATATACTACATACTAAAAGCTTCTTTTGTAATATTATTGTAATAATAATAATATTATTGTAATAATAATAATATTATTGTAATATTTTTGTAATATTATTGACCTGTTAAATGTGCAAAGGTCTGAGTCACCTCTAAAAATATTTTATATTCAAAAGTTTTTTAAATCCAGTGTTATTTTATTGTGAAGTACACATTAAGGGGCATGCAGCAAATATTTTTAAAAGATTTGTTTTTTGAACTACCCTAATGTATACTAATTTTAAATTATAATATTTTTAGTATATAGTTATATACAAATTTAATTTAGGTTAAAGATATATTTGTAATTGAACCAATGAAAATTTTTGTGTTGGCAGTTATAGTAGCTCTTGTTGTAAAAAAAGTTAATGAAGATACTATTGAAGTTGAGAATGAAGGTATGGATCACACTAAATCTTATTGTTATCCATTTCTTGTATTATTGCAATGCTATTATTAACATAATTGCTTATTATTATTACTTTTATATTAAATTATTAGAGAGAAAATTGTAAATTTAATTAACTATTACAGAATTAATTTTTATTATGTTATGTAGTTTAATATTGTAAGTGTTATAAAAGTTGTCTTCTAAGCTGCTGAGAAGCAATTAGCATAGAGTTTCTGAAAATCCTGTATTTTGATATCTGATATCGGTTTTTGAATTTTTGAAAACAGCTGGATATCAAATAACAGATGAATAAAATTTTTAATATGATAAAAATAAAAAATTAAGTTTTATTTTCATTTTTATAAATCTTTATGTAATTTTAAAATTAAATGGTTTCAAAAATTCCTGTTTTTTAATTCTCTTGATACTGAGTTTTGTATAGATTTTTCCAGTTTCTCTTCCACATTTATTTCTTTTTCATCAACAAAAACAATTTTACTGTTATTTTCTGTTTTATTAAAATTCTTGGAAAAAATTCTCTGCATTATTTTGTTTGCCAAGCGTAATTCATATTTTGATGAAATATGTGATAAATCATTCAATAATTTCATTAAAATCTTATTTTTGCATACAGCGGTTCTTCTTTTCAAGTTTTTCATCAGTTTTTTTTATTTCATCGTCATAACAAAGTTTATTCATCATATACTCAATTATTGCATCTGCTGATGACAAAAAAGCTTCTTGTTTACTAAATGATTCTACAGCTAATTTTATTGTATGAGAGCTTTTTATTGGTTGAAATTTCCTTCTGCCAGCATATTTCTATTTTATTAAATTCAAGAAGAGATTCAATATATGCAAAATATGATTTCTTGTTGATTTAAAAAAAAAAAACAGTTGATTTTACGTATTTTTTGATGTTTTCTTGAATATTTAATATATTTATAAACTTTTGACCAAGATCATTAGCTTCATCTTCAAAACAATCTTCTCTTTCACTTAGACAATGCAGTTACTAACCTCAAAGAAGCAGAAAGGGAAGAAGAGCTTGGCAATGGAACATTTTATAGAAAACTTTAAAGAAAATTACCAGAGAAAATGCTTACTCATTATCAACATTGGGTTTTTGAAAATGCAAAAAAAGAAAATGTTGAAACCTTATGACAGTTTATTATTAAAGAATCAGAGTTTCGAATTGCTGCAGCTGAAACAATTCAAAGATTTTCGCGCAAAGAAGTTTCGTGGGATGCAAAGTACTAGTCGTCATAAACTATTTTGGTGAAACCGGAACAATTGAAACGAGAAAATTGTGGTTGAAATGTCTTGTTTGTAAGCAAAATCATGCCTCGTGGAACTGTGACCAATTTAAACAACTTGATAACTTAAAACTAATTATGTTATCGATGCATGGGAACCAAACTATACTGGAAGTCTGTGTTCTAAAACAAGAATATGTGGTATTAATGGATGTAACGAAACACACAACAAATTGCTACATAAGCTGAATCCAATTAACGAAACACACAACAAATTGCTACATAAGCTGAATCCAATTAACCAAGACAACCAGATCGAAAAAAAGAAAAAGTCGCAGTTAAAGAATATCACAGAGGAGGAGCAACTTAAAGAAACTGAAAACATTACAATGTCAACTGAATCAAAACTTAAAAATAATTGTTGGTTGTGGTGTTTATGTAGCACTTAAAACTGTTCCAGTCTTCCTGAAGAATCGTGGAAAGAAAATTATAGTTAATGCCTTGTTGGATGATACAAGTACGAAAACCTATGTAAATAACGATGTTGCTAGTGAATTAGTTTTAAATGGTAAACCACAAGAAGTTACGGGTTTTAAATAGTCGAAATGATGTATTTCAGACAACGCCTGTTGAATTTGAACTAGAAAGTTTGGATGGTAAAGTGAATATTAAAATTGCAGCATATACAGCAAACAAACTAACTATATTCTTAAAGTCATTTGACTGGAAGAAACCATCAGACTGCGAAAACACAACCAGTATTTGATGGATCAGCAAAGCATAACAGATTATCTCTTAATGACAAAATTCTTCAAGGTCCAAAACTTCAACAAGACTTGTTTCAAGTGTTACTACGATTTCGACAATATCCAGTGGCAGGGTAATTCCATGTCAATTGAGCCAGAAAATTTCAAAAATGTCACCATACATCTCAGATTTTGCTAATTTTTATACAGTTGAGAGTACTTAGTAAAACAAAAAATCCTTGAAAATTTTAGCTTCTAGCTCCAAAAGGATCATGAAATATGATCATTTTACTTTTAACTGATCTTGGCCAGGCGCCTCTTGTCCCTTCAGAAGTGTGACCTTTGTTTAAAGGTTCCAAGTCACATAGCTTTAAAAATATTTGATCTTTTAACTTAAAAATTTGTACCTGGCTATTTTCAGGGTCGAAGAATCCAATAAAATAATCAGAAATGTAAAAAAAATTTTTTTAAGTACTTGTAATTATCAACTTAAATAAATTTAGGCAATTTTTTATATACCTGATTTTGATGCTCAAGAAAGCCATGTGGCCTTGATGATATAAAAAAAAAAAATTGTACACATTATTCTATGTTTAATGATCTTTAGGAAAACATAAAAATTTTGATCTGCAAGTATATGGATTTCCATATATGGTTAACGGGGCACAGGCCCCACTATTTTGTAGCAGAATCTTGCCATACATTTTTCACTACCTTTCAGACTAGCTGGAACGATGAAAATTTTTGTATTTATGTAGTGTCAATAAATGTGCATTTTAAAATTAAAAAAGGGCCCAAGACACTAGGGGAGGGGGCTGGGGGGATGTGCCCCACTTTTTTGACCGGAATCTTGAGATGGATTTTTCAGTATCTTCCAGACTAGTTGGAGCTTTGAAACTTTCAGCATTTGTGTAGTCCTGATGAACATGCTTTAAAATAGTTTCAGGTCAGATGACCAGAAGGTCCATGGGGCTGGGGCACTGGGGACCATGCCCCGCTTATTTTAAAAAAAAATTTTTTTTTTTTTTTTTGTCTTTAATTTAAGATAACTTTGAAAATATTGTATTTAAATATTTTATTGCTTTATGCTTGTTCCGTTTTACGTCATTATTTACAAAATAAAATACAAAAAAAAGAAATTGTCAAGATAATGCTAAGATTAGCTTAGATGCATTGACAGTCAAAGTATACAAACGTCCATTTGTTGTTACAGGTGCATCAATTATACTTGGTAATTGGAAGCCAATACTCATCTACTCTAGATGGCCAGAAAAGTTTATTAAAAGGACCGTGCGGGTGCATAAATGTTACCATAACATCTTGCTCTATATTATCAACTTCATTGATCATACCAATCCAATCAAACGCATCATATTTACACATAATAAATTCACTAAATTTCAGGCATCAATGTTAATTTGCTGATCATTTTGAGAACTTTGAATACCAGAAAGAAAAAAAAATGCCTGTTATATGAACATCTTCACTTGTTCGTTTAAAGCTAATAGTATCTATAGATTCTGGTTTAAATTGATGATAGCTCCTAGTTCCAGGTATTGTTCTACTTAGCTGAAAATGTGTTTTCAAAGTGGTGCGCAATTCTGTCAGTCTTTCTTTTTCAATCTTGAAAAAAATAATCCCTTTAATATTGTTAGTACAGTAGTCAAACATTTTGTTACAATTCAATATCTGGTCATTTACGGGCCTTTGTAGACTTGCATTTGTAGTTAATTGTTTTACAATGCCACCAATACCATCACATGATGACTTACCATGACTTGTAGCAAAAAATGTCCACTCTGCATCAATGTCAAAATCATTTTTATGGAGACAGATATTGTAAAGGTTTTTGTGGTTTTTATACTGTGCAGCACAACCATCAGAAAAATAAAGAATCTTTGAAATTTTAGGATGATATTTTTTTAAATAGTTAACTATTTGTGTTTGAACTTCATACATAAAACCAGTGTCATGCTCATTATCTTCCTACATGTAACAAAACAACTTTTCTTCAAGTTGGTCATTTTCGTTTAATAAATAGAGGGCAACAGGGTGTAATGTGCATTGACTTTTGCACCAATGGTAACTTTGGGTTTCATCTTGAATCACAAAGTGAAGTTTTCTGCAAAGTCAACTAAGACAATACAGCAGTTTTTGCTAAATTTTCCTTTTGTTGCTTTATGTATCTTGATTGACATTTTGCAATGTAGGAATGAGCTGTTAACTTGTTTATTGCCTCTGATAACATCAATTTGTATTCTTCAATAGTTGTTGTCTGATAGATCAATGTTGTTCTGTCTGTTTTCTGCCACTGATTGAATGACACCTCCTCGTCCTTGTCATTATCAATTAGTTGTGCATCCAGAAACTTCTTTAAAGAAACTATACCTGGACAGTTCGGACATCGATGAACCATGCACTCGTTACTTGTCACATCACAAACAACTTTTGTCATCATATCTTTGTAAGTACATTTCATTTGTATAGCATTGGTCAAGAGTATTGCATTTTGATGGAGGGTACATACACAAACAGAATGAGTGCCTGATGCTCCAACAGTTATACACCATTTTGGTCTTAAACTGCAAAACTAAGAAAATCCATTAACTTCTTGAGGATATTTAGTTTTAAAAGAAACATAAAGTTCTTTAAGATTACATAAAATAAGACGCTTTTGCATGTGTTGTTTTCTACCAATACTTACGTAATCTTTTTTACCAGGCATTTGTCTAGTAAATTCTTCATCATGGTATATATTGTTGACTCTATTTAATGTTATTTCTGAAAATGTTTTTCCTTTCTTAGTGCCTGGAACTGAAAAAATCCCACTTATTTTCTTTAGTTTGCGCCCTTCTTTAATTTGGTATATAGTGACGTTGAAATATCTTGCAGCAAAATTTCTTGACCAAGACTCGGGTGTAAATGTTAATAACTGATTTTTAGTTTTTTGGTCAGAAACAATTAACTTTTCTTTTATTTCTGCTGTTAGTTTGTCTAAATCATCA